AAAGGAATGGCTTGTGTTGGTTCTTCACGACTCCCTTGCTGGAGTCCGAGAGATGGTGCTACACAGTGGCTAGAGATGTTATCAGATATGGCTCAGAATAGAAGCCATTGGCGATTGTGCTGTAACCTTCTTTTAATATCTTCGTAAAAAGTGGTTGTATCTTCTTAAACTGAAAGATTTCTTCTGATTTTACCTTTCCGTTCCCTCATTATTACTACACTACGCTCCTTACCTTTTTTCTCTTCGAATTCTCATTGTTTTGTGTTGCGCATATATATTGGCGCTCCCTTGTACCAATATTTATGTGTTCAAATAAATAAATAAATAAATCTTCACTTTCTATTAAAAAAGATTTGGGAGGAAGAACAAGTGCCGACGGACTGGAAAGAAGGGCATCTCGTCAAGATTCCAAAGAAAGGAGATCTGAGAAAATGTGAAAACTATAGAGGCATTACACTACTGTCAGTACCGGGAACAGTTTTCAACCGGATGAATGATTCAGTAGACGCCTAACTTCGAGATCAACAAGCTGGATTCCGTAAGGATCGGTCATGCACAGACCAAATAGCGACACTACGGATCATCGTCGAACAATCAGTTGAGTGGAACTCGTCACTATACATCAACTTCATCGATTATGAAAAGGCATTTGACAGTGTAGATAGGAGAACGTCATGGAAACTTCTTCGACACTACGGAGTTCCTGAGAAGATTGTCAACATTATCCGGAACTCATATGACGGACTACAGTGCAAGGTCGTGCATGGAGGACAGCTGACAGATGCATTCCAAGTAAGGACCGGAGTCAGACAAGGCTGTTTACTCTCTCCCTTCCTCTTTCTTATGGTGGTCGACTGGATTATGAAGACCTCGATATCTGAGGGAAAACACGGAATACAATGGACAGCTCAAAATCAATTAGACGATTTGGACTTCGCAGATTACTTAACCCTCCTATCACATACACATGAACAGATGCAGACAAAGACAGCTAGTGTAGCAGCAGTCTCTGCATCAGTAGGCCTCAGCATACACAAAGGGAAAACCAAGGTCCTCAAATTCAAGGTGGAGAACAGCAATTCAATCACTCTGGATGGCGAAACTCTGGAAGATGTAGAATCCTTCACATACCTGGGAAGCATCATCTATGAACAAGGAGGTTCAGATGCAGACGTAAAGGCGAGGATTGGCAAAGCAAGGGCCGCATTCCTTCAGTTGAAGAACATATGGAACTCAAAACAACTTTCAACGAATATCAAAGTGAGAATCTTCAATACCAACGTCAAGGCAGTTCTACTGTATGGAGCTGAAACTTGGAGAACTACAACAACCACCATCAAGAAGGTACAAGTATTTATAAATAGCTGTCTTCGCAAGATACTCAACATCCATTGGCCGGATACCATCAGTAACAGCCTTCTGTGGGAGGAAACAAACCAGATTCCAGATGAAGAAGAAATTAGGAAAAGACGATGGAAGACGGGCAAATCGTCAAACTGCATCACGAGGCAATCACTAACTTGGAATCCTGAAAAGAAGCGAAAAAGAGGAAGGCCAAAGAACACATTACGTCGGATAATAGAAGCAGATCTGAAAAGGATGAATAGGAACTGGAAGGAGCTGGAAAGGATTGCTTAGGACAGGGTTGGATGGAGAATGCTGGTGGGTGGCCTATGCCCCTTCACGACGGGTAACGGGCGTAAGTAAGTAAGTAAGTACACCCGTTTCCTCCTATTCAGGACTTTTCCTCTGGATACACCTGCATCTCAAAGTTAATTTTCAAACCATAACGCTTCAAACAGCAACATACTATTCAACAAGTAATGGAATTTAGATGGACAATAACTTATTTATCCGAAAAACAAGATAATTTTTCGTGAATATCTATGCTTTGAAGTGTCGGTATTCAGAGTTGAATTTACCTGTAGTGCAGTCACTTTGTGATCTGGAATTTCCACCTGATAGAAGGCGTTTATCTGTTGTCAGACGACAACCTCAGCTATTATTTACAAACCACCTTGAGCTTGGCTAGTCAATTTAATAATAATTATTTTTTGAAGATTATTGTCTTATTCATATAATTACTACTTTTGTTTTATTGAGTAGAGTATTTTTCCTGTTTAGTGGATATTATATAGATTTCTCTCTTTAAATTTCTTCTAGTTACGCTATTTTGTAATTATTTTAACTGATCTAAGCTGTCATTTTCTCTATACATTCAATGAATTGAAATTGTAGGTGTACATCTGAAAGATAAGATACTTATTTACCTTCTTAACTGTACTTCTCTACCGGCAGACTTAGTACAAAAATGAGATATAATCATAATGAGAACCGTTAAAAGTTGAGCGGAGAAATATTTCGCTTCAATTTGTTCATTCTAATCGCTCTACACTGATATATAGGTTTTAAGATCTAGTGAAAAATCAATACTAAATAAATAGTGAAGATTTAATTTACCAATGTATCTCAATACTATTAGTTTAACAAATTAAAGCCGAAACAGCGTTACACAATCGTTTACTCGTTACAAGTGATTACTTAAGAACAAGAATAGCAGTTGAGTAAGATTGAAATGGAAACATGAACATTTGACTTTGTTTTTAGAAATAATAATGAGTAATTTGTAAGACAGATTTAAAAATAATATTAGATTACTAAATCACTTAAATAGATTATGCTACAGATAAGATGGGTAATAAAAGTTAAAACGAATATCACTGAGAATGGTGACAGTATTTGAGTGATCAAACTCTAATATGATGTTGAAGAATCCCATACTAGGAAGAGACGGCCATCCAGTACTTCCAGGTTTTCCACGGTGGTGGTCCAGCTTTAATTGACTCATGAGTTCAACTATTAAATTACTACAATCTCCACAAAACCCCCCTTTCTGATTATTCTGAATTACAAATAAAATACAAAACACACTATTGACAAATGTACTATAACCACCTCACATTTTATAATTTGAAAATAATAGATGTATCTGAAAAATATTCCAATACAGTCTAGAATGTTCCTGTGTCTAATATCTAAATTAACATAAAAGATCTATGCTATTCGACTATCATGTTCAAAAGATTTAATTCAGCAAAGGGATTGTTATTCATTAGTATTTATCATACAATAATCATTTCATCGAATGGAGGAATTGTGTAGAACAGTTTGTATATCAAAGAAATAAACTGAAAATAATCAATATTTTTTATTCACTGTTTATCAACGGACAATAACAAATCGTTTACTTTAATTATCTGAGTTATAACAATCTATGAGATTCATTATTTTCTTTAACCTTTATTTCAAACAACAGAAGCTAACGCCAGTAACAGATTGTTATTTAAGATGACTATTTACAAATAATGTATACTATAGCAGATCACAGACATTTGAGTTTGTTTACATTTAATTTGGTTAAGCATTTTCATTAACTTATTTAACAGAGTCATACGTACTAAAACAACAACAACAACTTATCTATACCATTGTACTTTTATTATTGTTGTGCTTGTATGAACATGTATGTTTGAGCATCGCTAACCGACTAAGCACATATTCATTCTACTAGCTTTAGTGTTAGTCGCTTAAATGATCCGATGACTTGTTCATTTTTTATATGTAAATTTTAATCCTGTTCGTTGACCCACTCGCTCACTCGTTTACTTGCTCTTCGGCACTCGCATATCACTCTTGCCTCGTGTGCCTGTGGTTTTGGTGATCTGTGTGTGGTGTAACAATAAAAGTAATGAGTGCTTCGTATTTGCCTTCTGATTTATACACCGTCGGGCATTATCTAATAACGGTTATCAGGACGAACACCGACCACCACAATTCTTATAAGAAAATTATGGAAAAACAGTGTGAAACAAATTACAAATCATAACATCTGAAACATGTTTATCAAAATAGTAAGAGAAATGTTGTTAATTAGTTAACTGTTATTTTTAAATGGGAAAAGGTACCATATACACTAAGAAAGTTTGTAATTTAATAAGTATAGAATTTAAACTGATATGTTATTCTAAAATTTGCTGAAAACTAAAATATATGAATATACACACTTTTCAAGAGCATAACTAACAACCCTAATGCAACAATTTTCCTTTGGATTGTATTAACATTGTGTACTAATAAATAATCCATAAATTAGAGACTATACATAGTGTGTTATACACTACTTATGCGGACAGAAATAAGTAGTGTGTAGTAGGAATTGGAATTAGAATGTTAACTAGAAGAAGACTGAAATAGAGAGAAGAGGAAGGTAAGAAGAGAGCTATCGGAATAACAACAGAATTGGGAGAATGATGGAGTACGATTGATGTATTTAATGTATCTGCTTCATATTCTACAAAGGCATTGTGTGCTTTTGTATAAATTAATAAACTGGCTTACCGTATTTGAGTTTCAGTACACTACGATAGCACTTTTAAACAGTACTTTATTCATTAAAGAGGAAGATTGTATTTGTAACATCTCAGCGAAAGAACCTGACGAAATTGTATTTATTTCAAATTTTTTCGCTGAGATTTTACAAATACATTCTTCCTCTTTAATGTCGCCCAAATATTGTGAAACTATTCGTTCAAATTTAGAAGAAAGTTCTTATTTAGTACTTTATTCATCCAATTAAATTATATATATATATATATATATATATATATATATATATATATATATATATATATACATATATATATATATATATGTCAGTAGGTGTAGTGAGTAACATTTTTAAATCATGCACAGATTATTGTGAATCCGTAAATGTCAAATAAGCACAATTGTACGACGATTTAATGAGGTCAAACATTTAGATAAATCTGTCTGTGAGTGTTCTCTTTTAAACTCAAAATTTGTGTGTAATCATATCACTTTTTTATGGTATACCTGTCAACTATCAAATTATTAGTTTCAGAAGAATTTGTGGTTTCTTACTTCTCGTATTGAAATAATATTCGATTTGAGTCATTCTCATATTCTGGTTTCTCCTTCAGGTAAAGTCAGATAATTGGATATGTATATTCAATAACAGGATAAACGATATTTTCACATGAAATAAAAACGTTCACAATACGATTTCGCCATTATATTCAAATGAAAAGGTTAATATTGAAATGTTTGCTAATTTTGTCAGTCCTCATGCTGTATTGTCTACTACAATCGTTCATTGGAGTCAGCAATGATTTAAATCAGTTTCAAACAGAAAAATACAGTGAAGTTAAAAGAATTTGTGAATATTTGCTCACAACCAAAGGTGTGAATCCCAATAATGGAGTTTTTGAAAGTATTCAGTCAAATCGGGACCAAAGCTCTATGTATTTATCAAATCCTCATAAATGTGAAGAGTTTAAATTGTTCCAAGGTCATGTCATTCAATCCTCAATTGAAGAGAAACTATTTCCTTTAGCATTCAGTTTATCTGTTCATCAAAATATTAAACAAGTATCACGTCTACTTCGACTGATATACAGACCACATAATTTGTATTGTATTCATGTAGATTCTAAATCTCCAATTGAATTTTATGATCAAGTGTTAGAGTTGGCCCGATGTTTTGGTTTAAATGTTATGGTGCTGAACCGGACAGAAAGTATAAATATTCAGTGGGGATATTATTCCTTACTTGAAGCGTTTCTTGTATGTGCGGACAAATTAATAAAAAACACAGACTATATGTGGAAATATCTATTGAATTTGAGTGGACAAGAATTACCTTTGAGGACAAACTGGGAGTTGGTTGCAGCATTGAAAGCAATAAACGGATCAAATGTCGTTGAAGGCTTAGGTCCAAATTTCAACCCTTCACGTTGGCCTAACAAGAATTTCTCATTTCCTGTAAGTTTTATAGTTATTATGATCTTGATAATGATTTTCTCTATTGGAAATTATTATAATAATAAAGTAAATATGGTTATGAAGCATTTGTTGCATATCTAGTTGGCGCAACCATGAAGAAGTCTTTATCATGTTAAATCCAAGTTATTTTTTTATAAATGCATTCGATTGTTTTGTATTTCTGTGTTGTTAACCAAATTTACTGACTAGATGTCGAGTCGAATTTATTGTATTAATATCCACTTGTCGAATTTTGTTCATGTGATGTTTGTATCCATAGGAGATTTAAAATCTTTTTTAAGATACCATTATAACTAGAAATTTTGTCACTCGAGTGCTCATCATCACATCATACTGAAAACCATTAACAAATACACTATTCATAAACATATCAGTGAGACATCCAGTTTTCGAACACTTCATTTACAAAAATAATATATTAGTCTACAGACACGAATTCCAAAATATTCATCACATTCAAATCATTTTATTAACTGAATAGATTATACACTAAATGTCCATTTATTAAATTTCAGTTAAGCAGTACTTTAGAAATCAAACATAGTTTTTGATTAGGTGTTTAAATTTCGGTAACGTTTCAGATCCAACAAATGCACTCGTCGTATGTAGAAATCAACTGTCAAAAGTTTTTGATTTTACGTTAAAGTTACCTTAAACTTGAGATTGAAATCGTGTAGGTTTCATCAATAGTCAGTGTATGGTCGTTAATTTGTAAACAACGGTTTCATTTTTCCAAACTTAAGTATTCAATTTAAACTGTGTAAATAGTTATTCCTTAAGAATGAGCATCAACCAAGGTAGCATTGGAAACTAAGGAGCACTAGACAGCTGTTTATCACAAGTATGGAAATCCTTAAGAGTCTACACTTTGGAAAGACGTCGCGACTCTCTTGTCTAATGGCTATCTCATAATCTTGAAGACACCAACTTGCAACTCAATAGTCTATATATTCAACTACAATCAATTGGCGATATAGCGTTAAAATTACACAACGCCATCACATATGATTATCTTGCTCCGAAAACAGCCGAACATAGATCACTACTGCCCCTTATCAATACAATACTAGGAAGGTTCCGTAAGAGAATAAAAATATAGAGAGTACTAGTTGATTTTTGGTTGGATACCAATCTATATTAAAGCACGAAGAATATAACCTAGAAACTAAATTAATAACCACGTATGAATAATTCAACTAGGCTATGGCGTAAAATTAAAAATTTTCTTTTTAACTTTCTTCCGTGAAGTTGGAAAGTACATATCTGAAGGGATAAACAGCGTTCGTCTCACGGATGTTCACTTCAGTCTATAGCACGGATTAAAACTATGAGGATTAATCTGAAATTCGTAAATATAAAATTTACAAATTAATGGTAACTTCAAACCCATTATTTTGGAGTGAACATTTTAATTATGCAGTCCATAATGTTGCGGTCAGTAATCTACTGAGCATTTGGCGAAAACCATCAGTATCACACGAATACCATTAATCTTTATAATATTGAACTCGATGTGTAATTTTTTGCTTGATCTCCAGTTAGTATAGTCACGATAGTCTGTTTGAGGTTATATTCTCGGATAAAGTGATTTAAATCGCTAGCGATAGAGATTAACATACAAGTAAGTTTCGCTTGATTAGATCATACATTTCGCACACTTCAAAAAGCAATTACATCTATTAAAGAAATGTATTTAGAAGAAATCAAATCAAATGAATCAGTGTTATGAAAAGCCGATTAGATTTAATGACTATCGATTGATTATCGCAACTCTTATCTTGAAAAAGTTAATATAATACTCATAACATATTATGATGATTAGGAGTATTTGAATTATAGTATGAACTAATAATCCCAAAAATAACGTCATCGGATCAGGAAGTACTAGATAAGCAAAAACGGATGTTCTGTATTTAGAAGGTGTTCCCTACTGAACACATGAAAAGTTTTTGTAATGAATAGATTGTTGTGCGGCTTTGTTCGTACATAAATATACATGTGTGTGTGCAATCATGTATTTTGTCACAATAGCATTATCAGTAGAACCATTTGTCTTTCCTAGATTATTTGGACCAAGGGAAGTTTTTACATGGCATTAAAGCGCGAGTTTGTTCACTTCTATCAAACTGATCAAAAAGCAAACGAAATTCTCAATGCGATGAAGGAAGAAAGACACTTAAGAAAACATCCAGATGAATTATTTTTTCCTACACTAACTCATAATCCACTACTTGGTTCCCCTGGTGCTTGTAATGAAATTCATGTTACTAATCATTCAGATCCACGGAAAATTTTCGTAGCTCGTTATGTAACATGGTATCATGAAGGTTGCAAAAGTCCAAGAATGCGCCGTATTGTTTGCATTATAGGCATAAACGACCTTCCGTATATAACGTCACGAGTTGAATTTTTCGCCAATAAGTTTCATGATGATTTTGAACCGATTGCATATGACTGCACAGAGTATTATATCATGAAAAAAGTTTTAAACGAGATGACAAGTAAACAATTAGATCCAAGTTTTAATCTCACACATTACTCTATATTGCATTGTTCACAAAATCATATCTAATTTCACAAAACGCTTAGTTGATCATCACAGTCAACTTATGTTCACTTTCATTTGTTCCTGTTGATTCATTTTAATAATTCAGATTTTACTTATTTTTGAAAACGCTATTAATTGTAAAAAACCACCACAGAGAAATACAATATTATAAGATGATTATTGTAAATGATAATTTTACTTGATAAACTGTTGTAAAAATATTACAGTTTTCTTTTCCCGTTTTAGACATTTCACTGTTATCTACTAAAACAAATCTGTGACTAGAATACTTTTTCCAGCAGACTGAATTACATTTTCTTAACCCTAAGGTTGTCATCGACGAATTGTTTGCTCATCTTTAAAACTAACAAATTGATTTCAAAATAACTAGCAAGTTTTTTTCTAGGAAAACCCGATAAAACTTCTGCTTTCGATCAGTTCCAATAAAGTTACCTCACCAATACCTCACACCGCAGATATTACAAGTTAGGTAACAGCTGAGAGCATAGTATAGAGATGGACTTAGAACAATCAAGAAGGGTTACCAGCTAGTTCTTGACCAATAGCAAAACAGTTCCTGTAGCTGGATAGGTTATGTAAATAAACAATAATATTACAAATTTTACACATTCAGGGAATTTACTAAGGCTTCCAAAAGGTTGCACTGTCTGTAAATGGAAGAAGTGACGGGGTAAATATACGTCGATGTGAAAATAGATTACTTGTATTCCGAAACCTTTGTAACCACATAAAGAGAATTTTACGAGACCCACACTGTTCTTGATCAAGGTTAAATCTTTAGGATTGGGATTAGATTTCGGTTAACGAACAATTCGTTTGGGTGAGCTATAATTTAGAGATGCTTTATAGACATATAGATGGTTGAACCTCCAGAAAGTATCTAATAGGAGTCGTCGTAAATATGAATGGTTCGTCTATAAATTTTAGCGTTATCAGGTTAAGGTTTGTTTCCGGATTGAAGATTAAGATTTAGTAATAGTTTTGATTTTCTTGTTATGTAAAACCTACACGAAGACAATCAAGTTAAACACTATCATTATCGACTGTCGTAGTGAAATCACTGAAAGAATGATATGTATCAAATCACTACTTCGATACGCATTTAAAGTGAATGAAAAGTGTTCTTCAAATCATAGGAACGAGTGTCGTATAGTCAAGAAATCGTTTTCTAACTATTTTGTTCTCACAGAGAAAACCTAAATGGAACAGTTATTTGATAGGCTTCTGTATGTAAGCTCTCATCAGTCGAAAATAGAACTTGATTGTATTTCTCCCCCTGTAAACTTGAAGAATCTGCACTCTGGAAATAATTTTACTCAAGAAATGAATGAAGGCCCTGGGTTCGAATCCCGCAAGCGGGATCGTGGATGCGCACTGCTGAGAAGTCCCACAATAGAACGAAACAGCCGTCCAATGCTTCCAGGTTTTCAATGGTGCTCTAACATCAATCGGTTCCTGATATCAATGAAAAACTTAACGATCTCCACAACCCCTAAACTGATAATTAAAATGTACTTGTACCGAGATTATTCACAAAAATATAAGGCGAAAATTTCCAATAGAGTCTAGACTATTCATACAAAAACCAAATACTACATCAATATTAAACTCAAACGTGATACATTCTCATCTATCTTTAGGAGAAACAAAAATCCAAACATGCATAAAATAACATTGTTAGCAACCACTCTGATGATGATATTTCTCCAGTTGATCAATTCTATCATTCAATACAATAATCACTTTAATTTATTCATCAAAATTACTGATTATAACTGTACTACTAAAATCATAAAATTTCTTTTACTTTTATAGAGAATCAATGAATAAAGTAATTAAAACAAAATTGAATCATTGATTTAAATGAATATTGAGACTCCTCATGATAGTTATGTAGAAAAACTACAGTCACCAATTAAATTCGATATTCTTTTCAGTTACTTATGGCTTGATATTGTCATTTTCACTTTATAATAATTAATTTAATCGATTATATAAATAATAAATTAAATGTGAAATAAATAAAGAAACAATATTCAGTTCGTTTCAATAAAACTAAATTTAAGCCAACTATTGGTCGTTCGCTTCTTTTTTTCTTCTTTTTGTTTTTGTTTAAAACATTCATGAGAATATTTCAAAACAGAATTTATTGCTAAATCATCCTAGTTATGTGTTTATTATTAGGTAAGTCAATCAATGTGTGTAGAGTAACTGTGAACCATATGTATGATCTATATACAATTGAACTAATAATATTACTAATTCTAAATAGATGACATTTTAAAGGACTAACACATTCATGTGTGTTTTCAATAAAATAGTTCGAATATCTTTAAGAAATATGAAAATGTTATTGATCATTTTAATGTTTTGGTTAGAAGCAGAAGAATTATGAAGAGTAATTATTTCATACAAAATGTAATGCCTTTATAGTTAAAGAATGTCATTGAGTATCAATAAGTCACAGCTTGGAATATGTCTACTTCTCTTTAGGCAACTAGATAATATCATTGAACATCATAAAAAGTTGTGAGTCGAACTCGAGTACCTTGAACTTGTACTTGATAAATCAGTGGTTTTCTCTGATCATTTTATGAATACTTCATATAATGAAACTTCTTGGAATAGCCAGAGAAAGTTGAATGATGGTGAATCACAAGAATAAAGTGATAAGCATTTTATTTTATCGGATAAAATGTGATGCCAATGATTTCAACTACACCCATCAAGCAAGTCACTAAAACTTTATCAAGCATACAATATGAAAGTTGTCAGGATAGGAAATCTAAAAAATGAAATGAGCTTCTTCCGTTTTAGGCTTATATATAATTTCAATGAATGTTGGGCATAGTAGTTGACATTAACATTGTGGGGAAATTAAGGAATCAATGATTGTTTTCAAAGAGAAACGTGACATATCCATAAAGAACAATTCAAAATGGTATTCTACATATCAGCCAAATTCTAACGCTAATTAAAGTACTACAACTATAATAAACGAGCGTGAACATTGCATTCCTTACTTACGCCTGTTACTCCCAATAGAGCATAGACTGCTGATCAGCATTCTACAACCCACTCTGTCCTAGACCTTCCTTTCAAGTTTTATCTAATTTTTGTTCATTTTACTCATGTCTATTTCCATTTCTCAGATTAATCTGTTCTTTGGTCTTCCTCTCCTCCTATGCCTTACAAGATTTTAAGTGAGGGCTTGTTGTTTAACACAACTGGATGCTTTCCTCAATGCATGTTCTATCCACTTCCAGCGCTTCTTCCTGATTTATTCCTCCACTGAGATCGGATTCGTTCGCTCACACAGTAGGTTGTTGCTGATAGTATTTGGCCGACGGATCCGAAGTATTTTTCGTAGACAACTTTTAATAAACACTTGTATCTTGTGGGTGATGGCTTTCATGGTTCTCCACGTTTCCACCCCATATAGTAGAACTGTTCTGATATTTGTATTGAAAATTCCGACTTTGGTGTTGGTTGACAATTCCTTTGAGTTTCAGATGTTCTTCAGTTGTAGATATGCTGCTCTTGCTTTGCCGATCCGCACCTTCACATCTGTATCAGATCCACCGTGTTCATCAATGATGCTGCCCAGATACGTGACGGTTTTTACATCTTCCAAATCTTCTCCATCAAGTGTGATTCCGTTGGTGGAACACTGCATTGTTGTCTTGAAATAGTTATATCTAGTTGGTTCTACCCGAAATACTTGCTACTCATTTTTGAGAAATTTATTCAGCATCCATCACTATCTACTAATTCGTGCCTAATTCGTGTTATTCTACATATTACACAATTTCTGTCTTGTAATTACATGATTATCTCTCTCATCCCATGTTGACCATATTTATTCCGATCACTTATCTCACAATTTCATTTCACTTATAAACTGACTCAAGCTAACACTTCATATTAGTCACCTAAACATCATCGATTTTATTTTATTTTCTATTCCAAACAATCCTTAATTCACATGGTATGATTTTAAATGGTGTAATCTGCACTAAATCTGGCCAATTTTATGGATTATTAATTTGGATATATAATTGCAGAACCTGATGAGAAATTATTGAAAAGAACATTCTTCGTTGAAATAATTGTGCTTCACTATGATATCAAGCAAAATATATTCATTTATCGTTGAAATTAGACAAAACAATGATTTGTACACCTACAAAGATAAACATTATGAATTAAGTTCCTTACTTTTAATTAATTTGTTCTTCAATCAAACAATCCAGTGACATTTGACAGAATCCGATCGTTATTCAATGGTTAACCCGAACATTGCTGATAAATTGAATGTATATCAGTACAGATTATATTGATTACAATTAGACTACGGAGTTTCTAACTTCAAAGCTTAATTTTATGCTTTACCCTGATGTCACAAAGTATACAGGACAGTGTCAAAATGAAAATCAAATAAAACAACAACGCCAGTACAATGTTATTTGTATAGGTATCTTACAAAATACAGTGAGAATCACTAAGCTTAATAGTTTATCAGTTAGCAATCAACACATATTCTGAGTTATGCTGAATAAGTTAGAGCTTATGATAATATTTAACTTACCAGACTAAAATAACAAATATAAGTGAATACATATGATCAGAAAGAATTCCTCAATTATACATACTGTATATTAGAATACATTTTAGATGGTTTCAGAATTCCTCACTCATACATAAATGAAACTCAATATAGTTCATACTAATGACTAGGTTAGAGTCAACTAAATCAAATAGCTATGACCTAATAGCTGTTCTATTCATAAACAATTGAATTACGTAGCTACAAAAAGAACACAGGAAACTGAGCTACATCAAATTACTCCTCCAACTCCCTGAATTTTGAATAAGTCTTGAAGGGTGATCTGAAACGTTTGTGTTAGTCAAACTGATACTATACAGTCAGGGGATGTTATGATTGTTGAGCAGGTCACAATGAGTTTTCTAGGTACATGAAGACAAGTTTTTGAAAATATGTTTCATCTCAAACGCTGACGTTACACCAACTAAATTAGAAATACACGCTTACGAATACCACATGCAAACGTAAGTTCATCAGTACACTAGTCATGTGCTTTTATCAAACATTATTACTTCAATAAATTATTTT